ACCAAGGTCAGAGTGAAAAGTATTTCCTAAAAGAGGAGGGAGTCGGGCTGGAAGCATCACAGGCATATGAGCCCTTAACTTCTGCAAAGAGTCTTCAGGTTTGTGACTTTAAAAAAAGTCATTATGTGATTTTAAAGAAACAAAATGAAAACTAGTTTCACACTGAACATATATTAATCATTGAATATACAGTTACTGAGTCCCTTCTGTGTGCCAGGTCCTGTTCTGAGGTTGGGGTTCAGAGGAAAATAAGACAGGCAAGATGTTTGCTCTCAGGGAGTTTATATTTTAGTGTGGGGAATAAGTAACAAACAGACAAACACATTGAAAATAATTTATTTGCATTGCAAGTAGCTGTAAATGTTAAAAATGAAATGTGATAGAGCAACTGGGGTGGGTGGTGTCATGGCCTCACCAAGGAAGGCCTCTCTGTGGAGGTGATGCTGAGTGAGATTTGAACAAGGAGGTGGGGTCAGCCACGTGGCCACCTAAGAGAGAGGTAAAAATAAGAGCAACCCAGTGTGCTAACTGCCATGGGAGACTCGTGAAGGGTCTAAGCCAGTTTGGAGGGTGGGCAAGAGAGAAAGAGGGAAAATGGCCACCAAGGTGAGTTTTGGGTTGACCAGCTCCTACTTGTCTGGGGGACAACCTGGATGTCTCAGCAGAGTTCAGTTGGCTGGAGTATGAAGTGCAAGATGAGGCTGAGGGCCAGGCAGGGCCCATGTCCTGAGGGGATTTGTAAGCCATGATGAGCAATTTGAACTTTATCCTGAGGGCCATGGGCAGACATGGAAGGGTTGTAAGATGGGCAGAGATTTGATCAGCTCTGAAAATCAAGACCACTCCCACCATGACATGGAGAATGGATGGAAGGGATGGAGTTGGAGGCAGGGTGACTGTTCAGGGGGTTGGGGTCATCATCAGGGTGAGAGAGGAGGGTGTCCTGACCTGGGGGAGGGTCTACGACGACAGAGGAGAGGTTTGGAGAGAGAGAAACGACAAGAACTCTGTCTTCTCTGACTGGAGAATGAGGGTGAATGAGAGAAAAAGATGAAGGAAGACATCCCCATCTGGGGTTTGGAACCCTAGATGAAGGGAGCTACTCAGAAGATACCCAAGAGAGACACAAGAGCAGGTTTGAGATAAACAAACTTGAGTATCTATACAATGGAATATTTTCCAGCCACAGAAAGAAAATGAAGTACTGACACGGGTTACAACATGGATGAATCTTGAAAATTTATGCTAAGTGAGAGACATCAGATGCAGAAGACCACATGTTGTGTGGTTCCGTTTCTGTGAAATATCCAGAGAATAGGCAAATCCGTAAAGACAAGTGGCTGTTAGGGGCTGGGAAAGAGTAATGGGGAGTGACTTCTTCATGGGTACAGGGTCGTTTTGGGGGGGTGATAAAAATGATTTGGAATTAACAATGGTTGCACAACATTGCAAATGTACTAAAACCACTGAATTGCACACTTTAAAATGGTGAACTTTAAAATGCGTGAATTTAAATAATTTATTTGCATTATTTTATGTAATGGTGAATGATGAATTGTATGCTCATATACATTTTGTCTCAATACAAAATCAAAGAGAAAAGAGTCGGCTCGGGATGCAATGACTGCTTTGGGAGAGGTGAAATTGGAGTGTGAGACACACCCGGGGCTGTGACACTGAACTTCGGAAAGAGGCCTCACTCAGGTGGAGTTCTCAACACAGAGAACCACAGAGAAGCTGCTTCAGCCTCAAGCAGCCCCCCTTCTCCTGGTCCATCCTGCTTTGGGAGCCCCTGCTTGCTGCCTAGTCTGTGCCCACAGAGACAAAGGTCAGGTTGCCCTTCATGGTAGTCTTCTTTGTGATGCAAATTTTTAATTTTCACGTGAGGCCAACCGCACATACAGTCTGACAAAAAGAGCTACCGAGGCCGACCCAGCCCACCATGACTTGGACTTTCTGTTACAGAGTGTGACTTCAGAAGCAATGCTATGGGACCTCAGATCTCCCAGTGTCGACACCCAGAGTTACTCACTGGTTGGTTTCTCTGGGGTTGAACTAAACCCAGATCCCATCTGAACGCCTACCCAGATCCCATCTGAACGCCTTCCCACATTCACTGTAATCATCGAGTGCTTTTAATCTCACTTTGATATTTATGCACAGAGATTCTTTTCTCTATTTCACATCTTATAATTCTCTCCCCTAGCCAAATGGAGCAAGAGGTTTCCAGTCATTCGGTTACTTACCACGTAATGCAATTATTTGATCTTTTCATGTGACTTTTTTTTTTGAGTGGGAAAAAATCCTACTACTCATTTCTTTTCCTGAATCTGACGTTTTTATCATTTTGAAAGCATTAATGGTTTCAGGTTTTCTCTTTCTAATGTATCAGGTTGCGTATGTATTGATAAATACCCTGCGGGGGTGTGAACTTCTTGAAGGACAGTGTCCTTTTGTGTCCCGTATCCTAGATAGTCAGTAGGGGCCTAGCATATGGGAGGGTCCCCATCTTGGGCTATGGAATCCCCCCAAAATACAATGGGCTTCACCTAGCGCCCAGGGCCATGTACATAGTTTACTTCTTCCTTCTTCCTTCAACTTTTTGAGTCCACAAAAGGCCTTTTTTGGGGAACCATGGCTTGTCCACTTTTGTTTTCCTCCATAATCTTGTCCAGCTGGTTCCTGAATCATCTCCTAGTGGCTATTCAGAACTCAGAATGAGGAATCCCTCTTAATGCTTGAAAAGGGGAGAAGCAAGAGACTGACATGGAAACCAGCTCAGGACTCAGAACCAAACTGACGTGACTTCAAAATCTCACTCTCCCTTGGGGTAGTGGGTGACATTGGGTTGGTTGTTGAGACCACTGCTTCTTAAAATATCTGTGCTGAAGAATTAGGTTAAAGTTTTAAAAAAATCATGATAGATCAATATTTTTATATAATACAACACTTTCTACAAAAGGTAAAAAGATCAGTGGTTGTTAAGGGGAAGGGAGAGGGGGAGGCATTGAGTGGGTGAAGCACTGGGGTTTTTAGGGCAATAAAACTCTTGTGTATGATGTTGTAATGGTGAATACATGATAGTATGCATGTGTCAAACCCATAACACTTTTTTTTAAATTGAAATGTGATTGATTCACAGTGTTGTGTTAGTTTCAGGTGTACAGCAAAGTGATCCAGATATATAGGTATATATATATATGTGTGTGTATGTATATTCTTTTTCAGATTATTTTCCATTATTACATGATATTGAATATAGTTCCTTGTGCTATATAGTAGGCCCATCTCATTTATTTTATATATAGTAATGTGTATATGTTAATCTCAAACTCCTAATTTATCCCTCCCCTCCGCTTCAAAACCCGTAACACTTTTTAGCACAAAGAGGAAACCTTAATGTGTACAAATGAAAAAAAGTCATTCAGGAGGTCAGGAATCCCACAACAGAATGCAGAATGAAACAAAATAATCTAACTGTGCTATACATGTACGAAACCATCTCACTAAGGAGGTGGAGGAAATGGTGCTGACATACGTAATTTTGCAAATGAGTGGTGTGTAGAAGACTAAAGGCAAAATAAACTGTATATCAAGTTGTTTTTCAAGGGGTGCATATTAACAATTCTGATGTATACTGGAATTGAGACATTAAGTAATTGGTGATGGTGGCAACGAGGTACCTCCCTAGTGGAGTGGGAAGTTACAGGTAAGCAAGGGGAGAAGGCTAGATCTATCCGTGTGGAAACAGATTGGAGTTTCAGATATCAGCACAAACTCATGTTTAGCTTAACATAGATACGGATGGATATATACAAAATATAAATATGTGTATGTATGTGGGTTAGTATATACGTGTATTTCCTTGCTCTGTCAGCTGAGAGACACTGGTAGCAGTGGGCACAACTAGTGTCAAGATCTTAGTTTCTAATGCTATTCTCCAATAAAAAGGAGACTGGGCTCCTTGGAGAAATGAGTAATTCTAGGACTCAGACAAGAAAGATAGAAGATGAACTGGAGCATCTTGTAGAAATGCAGAAAGTAAGGAAGTGCCCATCACTAGATGAATGGGTAAAGAAGATGTGATGCACACACAGACACATACACAATGGAATATTACTTGTCCATAAAAAGGATAAAATCTTGTCATTTGCAACAACATGGACAAACCTAGAAGGTATTATACTAAGTGAAATAAATCAAAGACATATACTATATGATTTCACTTATATGTGGAATCTAAACAACAAAATGAACAAGCATAACTAAACAGAAACAGAGTCCTTTATACAGAGAACAAACAGGTGGTTGCCAGAGGGAAGGAGTGTGGGGGCATGAGAGAAATAGGTGAGGGAGATTAAGAGGCACAAATTTCCCATCAGAAAAGAAATGCCACAGGTATGAAACGTATGATGTGGGGAATACAGTCAATAATTACATAACATCTTTGTATGGTGACAGATGACAGCTAGACTTACTATGGTGATCATTTCGAAGTGTACAGAAACATTGAATCATTATGTTTTATGCCAGGGACCAACACAGTGTTGTAGGTCAATTATACGTCAAGAGCAAAACAGACAAACTCATGGAAAAAGAGATCAGATTTGTTGCTACTGGAGGCAGGAGGCAGAGGGAGGGGAATTAGATGAAGGTAGTCAAAAGGGACAAACTTCCAGTTACAAAATAAGTAAGTACAAGGGATGTAATATACAACATGACAAAGATAACTGACACTGCTATATACCATAAACAAAAGTTGTTAAGAGAGAAAATCCTAGAGTTCTTATTACAAGGAAAAAATATTTTTTTTCCTTTCCTTTTGTACCTATGTGAGATGATGACTGTTCATTGAATTTATTGTGGCAATCATTTATGATGTAAGTCAAGTCATTATGCTGTCATTCTGTACACCTTAAACTTATACAGTGCTGCACGTCAATTACAACTCAATAAAGCTGGAAGAAAAAAACAGAAAGAAAGAAAATTACTAGAAAAAGGAAAACAAAAACCCAAAGACATATAAAGCATTAATCCCAACATTTTATATGATAATGTTTATTTCATATTTATCAAATTGTAGGGTATAATTGCAACATTTTTATGATTATAAATACACAATGATTGCCCAGAGTATTTTTCTGATTAAAAATAAATTATAGCATAATTAGATATGCTCCATCTAGCTTTTAATGTATTCTAGTTTAATTACATAAAGCAAAGGTTGGCAAATTTTTTCTTTAAAGGGCCATGCAGTCTCTTTCATAACTACTCAACTCTGCCATCAGGGCATGAAAGCAGCCATAGACAGTATGAAAATGAGTGGGTGTGGCTGTGTTCCAATAAAACTTTATTTAAAAAACTAGGCCACAGCTGGATTTGGTCTGTAGGCCGTAGTCTGCAAACCCTTCCCATTTCAGCCAAACATTTGTGGGATTTATCAAACTCCGTAAGAGTATTTTGGTTTTCAAATCACAATCTTGCAAAGCAAACAACTCTTTTTTTCTTCCTTGTGGAATTTTTCTTCAAAATTTTGTTTTCGATGAGTATTTCTTAATGGGTCCCCTGAATATAGACTTCCCCAGCGCAGTATGAAGTGGAATTAACATGCCTAGAGACACGTGTATTAACTACAGTGGGAAATTATTTCATTTGGTACCAGAGTTTCAACATTGTCAAAAATCTTCATTTAATTTCCGTAATTTTTCTCTAATATTATTCCCTTACATTGATCTGTTTACCAATTCTTGGACCAAGACTATACTTTTTTTTAAGTTACTATAGTTTTACATTTTGATGTCTGGCAATTTACTCAAAATTTATTTTTCCATCTGAGCTCCAGAATCACATTTTCAAGTTCCAAATAATAACAGTAGCGTTTTTATCCTAACTGCAGAGATGAATGTGGGAAGAATGAGTATGTTTATACTATCAGTGCTTTCCATCTGGGAACACACCATGTCTGCCTGTTTATTCAGGACTTTGAAAACTCTTTCATTAACAGTTTAAATTTTTCTTCATAAGACTTCTTCACAATTCTTTTCAAGCTGTTTTATTATACAAGAGCAGACAACTTCTCTGTCAAAGTGCTGTAAAGGTTTCCAGTTACCTGCTCTCAATTCCTGTACTAACCTCACAGTGACCAGAACAGGTCTGCGGACCACACCGTGGGAAGCACCGGTTTAGACTTCCCTGCGCCTCAGTCTCCTCTTGGCTGGGACTGGAAGCAGTCCCCTTCCAGAGGATTATTGTGAGGGAGGGCTCAGCGGGGCCCAGCGGATCTCCGAGGGCAGAGGGCACGGAGCACAGCGCGGGTACAGAGCAGGCCAGCAGGCCCCCCCAACTGAGGGAGGCCCCACCCCACGCTCCTCCCTGGGGCCCCTGTGGGAAGCACCTCTGTTCTGCCCCACAACCCCCAGGCTCCTAGAAGGTCCTCCTCACCTCCAATCTCCCCTTCCCAGCAATGGCCTGACTCTCCCCTTTTCCAGTGTAAGCCCTCAGCTTCCCTTTAGTGGGGGCGGCCCCTTCTCCTTTCCAGTCGTTCACTGTGGGCGGATGGGAGCTGAAGGCCCCCGGCTGAGGCGAGCATCTTCCTTAGTCCTCCTGCCGCGGCAAAGCAGAGGAGTGACTCCTCGGTGACTCTGTTAGGGATAGAGACCCCCAAACTGGAAAGCACCCCAAATGTGTGGGTCCTTGTCCATCAATGGAGAAAGAATTCTCAGTAGAGGCAGAGGGACAAAGTGAAAAAAAAAAGAACTGCTTTTATTTCTCAGAGAGGAAAACACTGGAGCAGGGAGCGTCAGCCTGGTAGCTGGTGGAGACAGCCCCCTGCCCACATCAGGCTGCAGGAAAATGATCAGAAGACTCTGCCATCGTGATCTTCCCTCCGGCCGGTGGGGCCAGTCATCTTCCCCTATTGGCTCTTTCCTCCCATGGAGCTCAGCCCTAAACCTGAAACTTCAGGGGGAGAAAGAGAACAAGGAAAGAGATACTGGGGTATGTCCTTGGGACTAATGCAGCAATTGTAAATCATAAATCGTCCTACAGTACTATGTCATTGGAATTAAGGAGCCACCTGTGGGATAAGAGAAGTGTCCTGCCTTTCATCAGCCTGGCACTTTCTTTCCCTCGTAAATCGGCCAGGGTCAGTAAGCCTGCCGAGTCAGCTCTCTCACCTCCACCTGTGGACCCACGACCACCTGCAAGTCGGTGGAGATTGGGGTGAGAGGTGTAGCTCCTTCCTGGATGTGATGTGACTCCAAAGTATGAGAACTTCGGCACAGAAGCTCCTTGACCACCAGCCTGTTTCTGATGCCTACCCCGATCCTTCTCTTGTTCGGTGTCTTTCGCTGTGGCATTTCTGCCTCTTCTGCTCCATTATACAGGCTGTACCATCTCCGTGGCCTTCTTCCTCTGGTACATCCTCAGAGCCATCTTTCCCCCTTCCCTCCCTCATCCTGTCAAACTTTCTTTAATTATTAGTTGTCACTCTGGGCACCCAGGAAGAATCAACTCAATTTTTTTTACATGCAACGCCCCCCATGTTTGATCCCTCCCAGTGAGACGCTGTTGTGAGTGCTGCTGCCAGCCTCAGTCCCACCCTAGCCTCAGTCCCACCCCGGCCTCAGTCCCATCCCAGCCTCAGTCCCTACCCCAGCCTCAGCTGCAACCCAACCGCCTCTCTTGTCCCCTCCTCTTCTCTTGCTTGGAGGCTGCCTGGCCCCACCTGCATGCCTCTATAGGCTGGTGCTCAGGTGTGGCTGCAGCTATGTTAAAATGTGTATGTAGACGAGAAAATTGGGAGTGAAAAAAAGTATTAAGGTGAAGAAGATGGGTTGTATGTGATATCCCATCCTTTAAGTAAGACTTTCTGTAACATTTGTGTATTGCATTTGTCTGAAAAAATAAAAAGGAAGGGAGGGGAGGGTACAGCTCAAGTGGTAGAGCACATGCTTAGGATGCATGAGTTCCTGGGTTCAATCCCTGGTAACTCCTCTAAAAATAAATAAATAAAAAGACCTAATTACCTCCCCCAACAAAAAATAAAAATAAAAAGGGAGAAAGGAAGGAAGAAGGGCGAGGAGGGGAGGGAAGGAGAGAGAGAGGAGGAGGAGGGAGGAGAGGCAGAGAAAGTGCACCTCCCAGATGCAGGCATTTTGGACACTGGCTTGGTGGTGAGCACAGTTGTGCCTCCTCCCGCCCCCTCCCTCCACCCGGTCCTCAGCCGTCCCCTCCCCCTCTGTACTATGTCAGTCTGAGTGCCCAGTAGAATAGAGCACGAGTGATAACATGTCACTTCTGAGATTAGGTTATAAAAGCCACTACAGCTTCTGCCTGGTTGCTCTCTCTCTCAGATCACTCACTCTGGGGGAAGCCATCAGGTTGTTGAGCAGCTGTAGCCCACACGGCAAGGAGGCTCCAGCCAAGAGTCCCCTGAGTGAGCTTGGAAGCCTTTAACTAACTGTCACCCACGCTGACAACTCAGCTGCAACCTCCCAAGACGCCCTGAGCCACAAAAACCTAGCTCAGTCTCTCCAGATTCCTGACCTGCAGAAACTGTGTGAAATATTGAATGTTTGTTGTTTTAACTTCCACTTCCACGAAGTTTTGGAGTAATTCATTATGCAGTAGTGGGTAACTAATATACTCCTCTTTTTCTTTCTAAGGCATTTCCTCCAGTTAATCTTTTGTATGTCTAATCCTGTTGTGGCATCAGCTTTTCAAAGACTGAAACAACACAGGCATAAACAGATGACGATTAAAAACTGCCAGCCCTTATTGAACAGGTAGCCGTGGTAGACACTTCTAATCACATAGCATTTTAGTTAATCCTTGCAACAATCCTGTGAGATACTATCATTGTCCCCATTTTATAGATGAGGAAACTGAGACACAGCAATGTTAACTCTTAAATGTGGAGAGAAAACCTAGAATAACAGACAGAGCTGTGGTTACCGCAGGGGATTCTAGTTCTGGCTCAACTGTGAGACTCTGGACAAGCTGTTTCACCTCTCTGGGCCACAATTTCTTCATGTCTACCATGAGGGTACTGAAATAACTGGTCTTGGAGGTCCCTTTTAAGGATAACAATAAGGTATCCCTAGGATTCTGAGAGTTAGACTAATAAAACTAACATGTAACCGGTAAGATCATACACACACACATGTACACGTGTACGTATACAAGTATCTGTGACCCAAGTCAACTGGAGTCATCCTTCCCTTGGAGTCTAGTGATGAGGTTGGCTCAAGCCCCATCCCACCTCCCTCAAGTTCAATGCTCCTCCCAGACACTGAGAACACTTTGGTGCTCAGGGGATGGAGGAGACGGTCTTGTGCCAGCCCCCCTACCCCTTGACACCCTGCTCCAATTTCCTGCCTGGTGGCTTCTTGGGCTCCACCCTGTACAAGGCAGTTCTGCTTTTCTGTCTGTCCCTGTGCCAAGCCAAATGTGAGACAGAGCCTTCCTTTCCTTGATCCTAGCCCCATGTCCACCCCCATGAGGCACCTGCCTCCGGTAGAACACTGACTGTGGTCTCCAGATCGCTGGCCACACTGCACAGCAAGCAGCTGCCTGTCACAAAGGGGCAGGCAGTCTTCTTGTCACTCGCCCCAGGCCTGCCCCCAGCCTCACTGCCCCTGCCACCCAGGCCTCCCCTTCTTGCTGCACAGAGTTGCCAGATAAAACACAGGATGTTCCATTAAATTTGAATTTCACATGCACAACAAATAATCTTTAGTATAAGTATGTCCCAAATACCATATGAGATATATTTGAAAATTATCTGTTATTCATGTGAAGTTCAAATTTTACTGAATGCTCTATATTTTTATTTGTGAAATCTGGCTTCCTCTCCTTTTCCAAGGCTTCTCCTCACCCCTTCTTCTAAGATTACCCTGACAATCCAGATTCTGTTCACTGTGTAAGTCAGAGCAATTCTTGTCTCCCCAGGTGTCATCCCCAAACTCAGCCCAGGTTCATGCCTGCATTTCTAAATTCCTCATGGACATCTGCTTTTTCATTAGCTCAGTGCACCTGCAGTTTATGTTTTTTTTCTTGAATTCCTTCAACCTGGTTCTTCTAAACAGGACTTTCATCCTCTGTTGCTGGTATAGAAGTCATCTTAAACACAAAAAGGCCTCCCAAGCTATCATCAGGGTATAGAAGGGCTGTCAGAGCCCTGACAATGCAAATAACACAGATAAAGAAAGAATTTGACAGCAGAGGCTGATCAACAAGGAGAACAACAAACTGGGCCCAGGAGCTGAGCCAGGTGGGGCAGCCTGATGGGAAGGGAGAGGCCCTGGGGACAGGAGCCCAGCTTGGCACTTCCCAGAAACCATACCTGGCAGTAGCCCAGCGTTAGCCATCTAGCGTGTTAGGTAGTATGGGGAAAACAGTTTCATGGTCAAATAAATTTGGAAAATCTCTTGTAAAATTGTTCATTTCAGAGCTTTGACTAGGCCAACATACATAGTGAATTTCCAGGGTAGGGGTGAAGTATGCAGCCTTTTTCAAACTTACTTGACTTTAAGAGTCATTTGTTTGGGAAAATTGTTCATGCAAGAGTGTTCTGCTTTGGGAAATGCAGCCTTACACTTCCCTCCTGCTTAATTTTGATTCCAGGCTTACCAAGCTACTTAATTTACATTTCCAGAGACCCAGAAGTTGTGAAGGAAACACCCTATTATCAGACACAAGTGTTCTAATCCTTGCAAAGGGACAGCCCCTGCTGAAGACAAACAGACCAGAAGAGGGGAGAATAAATTAAAAGGCCTCAAGCATTCAGCCAGTTTGGGAGTTCTATCTTAAATTTTCAGTTAACTTACTGGCACTCTGGTTTATATATCAAGTGTCCTCTAGTGGATATGGTTGGCAGGAGTCATTTCCCCAGAGGCTGAGGCTCGGACAAGACCTCACTCTTGGCTACTGGACCGAGAGGATGGGCTCCACCAAAGTGGCCGGTACGCTCCTTGTCACCTCCCATGGAGCACCTCCCAACTCTAGAATGATGGGCTTTAGGAAATGTGAATATTTCATAAATGTTAAATTTGCTGAGGGCCAAAGGGATCATCACGGGTTGGCCACCTTAGCAATGGGCAAAGGGCCAGCTAGTGGCCTGAGGTGCATGAAGGAGGAGAGAAGAGAGAAAAGGGAGAAGGATGACAAGGAAGAGGGGAGATGAGTCAGGGAGATGCCTGATTAGACACAGACTGAAGGTTTGGTAGGTGCCCAATCCTGCAGGGCGGTGGGGAGAGGAGAGGTGTGAGAAACAGGAGGACAGAGGAAACAGGCTGCTGCAGGCTGGGTTTCAGAGCAGTTTCAGGCTAAACCCAGGAGAACAAGCCAGATGGAGACACTGTCTTAACCCAGGAAGCCCGAGAGATGGCTGTGGGTCTGCACAGCCATGGTGAAGCTCTGCAATGCTGGACAGAGCATGAAGTTCATCCCTAGGGGAGGCACATGGTCTGAGCTCTCACCTGGGGAGACAGGGCAGGCAGGTGGTGAGGGGCTGCCTGGGGTGCTGGGTGATGGCAAGAAAGCTCTGGGAGCTGAGAACTCAGAGCATCCCATGCCCTATCTTCCCTTTCATCAGTGACTGCCCTGGTCCTGCTCCTCTGACCCAATCTGGTTGTAAGAAAGAGGGAGCTTCTTGTGGGCCTGTGGAGACCAGAAAGAGTCCTCCCTTGGGGACTCCCCTACTTCGTCCTCACCTCTGCCAGGATACCATGCAGCTGTATCCATTTCCTCAGCCTGGCCCAGGGACCTGAGTTCACAGCCGCTTCCTCCCTGCCTGTGACATTCCTACCTTGCACCCCATTCCCCACCCAGTTCTCATAACAGCCCAGATTGAAACTAAATTTGAAACATTCTTTTACTTCCTTCTTCCTCTTGGCACTGGGGTCACTGCTGCCCAGGCCCAGCACCCTCCAGGATCAAGGATCCACCCAAGCAGACTCAGAGTCCAACAGTGTCAGAGCTGGAAGGAACTGTAGCCATGGACTAGTCCAACCTCATTTCACAGATAGGAAACCAAGGTGCAGAGTGGGAGAAGCTGCCCAAGGTCACACAGTGGTGAGGCTGCCCAGGTTTTGGTATCATCATGACCTCCTTGAACCAAAGCAGTACCCACACAGAAGACCCCTGTGGTCAAAATCTAGAGCTCACCCAGCCTCCTGCCTGTGAGGGATCAATAATAACAGAGCTCGCTGCTATCTCATAACCTCTGGGACGGGCGAGGACCACCCTGGCTGCCCATTGACAAATCCAGTCCTGTTCCCTCACTGGGCCCTGGAGTCACATTTTTCTACTCACTGACTTAACATAGGCCATCAAGGAAATGACATCAATCTAAAGAAAAAGGTAAAATGAGGTAAGCTCAAAATTGTCAAAAAGATGAATTTATTCAGAAATAGCAGAGGAATTGTAATTTGGGACATGCATGGGCAGGAAGGTAAAGAGAGGAGAATTCAGTTAGAGTCTGCTAAAATGAAAAACAATAATAAATGGAGACCAGCTTTGAAAATTCCCTGAGCAGACAAAACCAGTACAGTCATATAATAAAAGCTCAATTCAGCTCATTTTGTGAGACCAACCTGACTCGGGTCATTTCTTTACGCCTCTGGAAACCATAAGCAAAATTTCCCAAGATTGATATGAAGCAACTCTTCATCATTTAAGAAAATTCCAATATTATCAGTTTTCTGTAAATGAGGTATTTACAAAAAAATCTGTCTCTCAATGCTTAAATTTCATTTTCCATTTTATATCCCCAGGTTCCATCTTAGATTAAAATTCTTTCACATTTTCCCCTTTTGACCAAGATCTTTCACAGAAAGCATTGCTGATCAATTATGTTATTCAGGTTTGTTTGTTAATTTTTGTCTAAGGTATAGTTCTTTAAAGGTAGATTGTATTGTATTTTCCCTGGAGCTGAAGAGGGTTACCCTCAGGTGTCTTTTCCCATGAAGCTGAGGAAGACCATCCTCAGGTGGTTTGTCCCGCAAAAAAAGGGAAATGGTATGGAATTTCACTGACCTCATTTAAATAACAAAAGGACTGAAAAATGAAGAATCTCAGTTGTGTCCCTCTAAGTTATATAGTTTAGTTTCCATGGTCAGTTGAATTTCAGAAAGCCTTCAAAGAGAAAAGAATTTTATTTTGTACGTGCATTTGAGAAGGAGACATTTGTTTACTAACAGACAGCAGAAATTTAAATTAAAAGATTAAACTAAGGACCAAATCTCAATGACAGCTGTTGATTGAAAAATACTTCTCAACCAGTTTTTCCTACTGCCTTCTGGCAGCCTGATACTGTCTTTCATTATTTTTAGTTATTGTGTTGTTTTCTCAACATAAAAATAGCATTCTTCTCCAAGGAGGGCACAGGTTCTCCTTTCTAAGTAGTGAGGAGATTAAGGGCTCTGCAGTTTTGTAGGACTATTTCTGCAAGGTTTGTCCATATTCAGAAGCTCAGACAGAAGCACTGAAAGTGGCAGATGTAATTATGGAAAGATTATGAATTGCTTTTCCAAGGTCTGCTACTCCAATCCAAACTAAAAAGGCTCTGGGGAAAGTAAGCCCCAAACCTTTTCTATCTGCTATAGGGTCACACATAAGCATCCACCCAAAAGGATAACCTTCCTAGTTCCAACATGTCCTTTTAAGATGATAGGAGGAAGTCCCCCGATCAAGTAGAAGGAAGAGTTTTTCTAATGTTAACAATAGGGGTGAGGACAATGATCCCATAATGTCTTTTTCAATTAAGGGGAAGTGTAGAACATACGTTTCTTCCACATAAAAATAAATACCTAGTGTCTTCTAAGAATAAGGCATAGTTGGGTCCCTTTACTCAGATTCTTTTCCCTGGAATGAAAGAGGGGGTTTTATAATCAGAAATATAGTCATCTTTATCAGTTTATTCATTCTTATGTAATTAATTCTTGTTTTGCTTGATCTTGGGTTAGCAGCTTTATGAATCAGTGTTTCATTAAAGTTTTAGAAATTCTTACCCAGCTCAGTGTTATGATTGTAATGTCATCAGAAAGCTGCATTTTAGAGTACTTGTTAGAGTCTTTCCCATGGATCTCTGAAGATGGTGAGTGACAAAAGACTTAAAAACAGCCATTGTTAAATATCTGGTGAGAGCTCACATACACACAAGATAATGCAATTGACAAGTAAATTTGGTTATTTTTATGATATGTAATATTTTAAGATAATAGCTGGAATTATGACTGATAACACTATACCAGGACATATTGTAGAATGGGAAACAGTCTTTGTGTTTCCTTGGACCCCCATCATTGAGATGAGTTTGAGCCTTGACTCTTGGGAAGCTGTAATCATCTAAACCTTCTAAGTTTGTAGCAGTCCCTTTTCCATGGCCAGGTTGTTTACCATCATGACAGAGTATGGTAGGAAGAGTTTGCTTGGGAGATTCCACTAGTTGACCTTAGTGATTTAGATTTTATTTGCCCTTCTTTTAGAATCATTTTCTAGGGCATAGGCTAATTGGTTAGCTAGATTGACAAGATCAGGGGTAGATATTGTTTCCCATTCTATGTGGGTTCTCTTGACTAACAGAAGTAGGTCTCTGTTTAAATAATTTATAAACATTAAATTAAAGGTCACCCTAGTGGATTCAATGTCTACAGGGAGTCCAGAATTTTCTTTAAAAATAGTTTGAAGCCTGCTGTAGTAATTATGAATAGATTTGGCAGGCTTTGGGGTGCATGCATGAATTTTGTTCTAGTCTACCACTTTAGGGAAAGTCCTTGGAATGGCAAGATGCAACCTTTTGGCTATGGTACCAGCTTGGTCATATAAAAGAGCTGGTGGGTGACTTACTTGGAATTCTAAAGATGGTTCAGGGCTTTCTCAACTAGCAGTTTTCATCCAAGGCTGGGCTTAACTTTCTCCAGTAAGCATGTGGACTAATGGATAAAGATCAGAGAAGTCAGGCTGATAAAGTTGAATTGCAATACTGAATTCTTCAGCAAATCTATGAGGATCCCAGTGACTTTGGGAAAATCTTTTACGGTAGCTCTAAATTCAGCTTTGGTCCATGGGACTTAAGAAATTAAGGTTTAGCAGGATCCTCAGAAGGCCTAACTTTACAAAAGAGAATTTTAGCAGGTACAGTTGGTTAGGTTACAGCACTAGAGAAGAAAGGAGCTCAGATAAAGGAAGGGGTTGGAAGAAGGCAAAGGTGGTAGAGGAGGTGGAGCAGTGAGATTATGGGAAACCTTGGCTGGTGCTGCCGAGGAAGAGGCCTCAAATGCCTTTTAAAAATCTCCTTTCAGTTGTTTATTTGCTTTTGTTAACTTAGAAATAGTATTTTGTAAAGAGGCAGTTTTAGAATTCTGAATCCTTTAGAAGCCTCTCATTACCAATTAAAATAGCTATTCCATTCAGATTATTTAGTTCTCTTGCCTCAGCCTTCTAATTTAGTCCATAGAAAAACAAGTTTGGGGAGATCTAAAGTTCCTCAAATGGCCCTTGAAGTTCTAAGTCATCTTTAGTAAGGTTGGTCCATTTAGTCAAAAATGCACATAAGGAAAAACCATAATTTTTTTTAATGTAAACCCAGCCGGGGTGTTTCAAGGAAGGCCACCCTTAGACCATTCAGATGACTGGGATCACATATCTCAGAGGGTTTCTTGAAAGCGAAAGAAAATTCCTTAATAGTCTGAAGGGGGTTGTTTCAGGGTGAGAGCTGTGTTTGGTTTCACAGAGTGCCTTTCATGGGATTCTCTTTATTTTTTTTTCCTGACTGATGGCCTTTTGCCCTAGTTGTTCGACCCGTAACCAGGTGTCCCATGTTGCACGTAAATTGCAGGCGACCTTATGTCAATCTGGCCTATCCATGACCAGCTTATGCTCTCATGGGAGTCTTGCTCTGAAAACAAAGTTTCTCATCAGGAGGTGGGAAGTACTCTTAGTAGTGTTTATTTGTTTGACCCATACTCACTGATTATTTACTCATTTATTTACTCATTCATTCATTCATTCATTCATTTTTGCTCTCAAGAATCCCAAAGGAATTATACCAAAATTCTAGCATGCTCCCAATAAGAAAACAAACGACTACTCACCAAAAAGGACAAATCCTTTAAACAGATTCCAAATAAAGTCATAAAGTCGGAGAGCTCAACCAAAGGGAGGGAGCTCAGAATCCAAGAGGAGACTCACCAAACTGCAAGTCATGAACAACTCATGGAAGCGATGAGCACAAGGGGCTCAGTGCAGGCACCTTGCTCAATTCCAAGAGTTGTTGTCCTTCGAGGTCATTTCCTTTGAATCCAATTTCTGATGCCAAGGAATATTAACCTAAATAAAAAGGTAAAATGAGGCGAGCTCAAAATTGTCAAAAAGATGAGTTTATTCCAGAATAGCAGAAGAACTGCAATTAAAAACATGCAAACTAGCAGCACTATTTACAGTAGCCAAGACATGGAAACAACCTAAACGTCCATCGACAGATGACTGGATAAAGAAGTTGTGGTGTATTTATACAATGGAATACTATTCAGCCATAAAACAACAACATAATGCCATTTGCAGCAGCATGAATGTCCCTGGAGAATGTCATTCTAAGTGAAGTAAGCTAGAAAGAGGAAGAAAAATACCATATGATATCACTTATATATGGAATCTAAAAAAGAAGAAGAAGAAGA